CTGGGGTGGAGCCTAGTAGTAAATGCTAATAATAAAATGCTCCCTAGGTAATTCTGATAATCAGCTGGGATTAGCCACCACAGCTGTGTATTACTAATGAAATTTGCCACTTACCTTATTTCAGAATGGATTGCAATTCTCCTATTCCCTTTTGGGCTTCCTGTAGTCTATCCATAGCTGAAGTGTGTGTGTGAATGTGTGTCTTGCCAGCTCTTCAGAATATGATTTCTGTATCCCAGCTAATTTTCCCTGATCTAAGTATTTCAATCTGCACATATTCTCCCCAGTGGTTCTCTGCTTTCTCTAAAAGATCGACTTTCATTATGTGCTATTGAGGACAAAGCAGATACTCCCTAAAATTTTATTTTTTCTTAAAATAGCTTTTAAAGGTATGTACTTCTGTTAATTCTAAAGGATAATGATCTATTTACCCTGGCTGTAGTGCTTTTCTGGTAAACTTTAAGGCTAGTTTTTGTTTCCTGTTCATACATCTTTTAATAAGAAGGATTTGGTTATATACTGGATTGCCAATAGACAGAGGGTATCCTATCAAGTCTAAAGCCTTAAAGTGGTTAATCTGCCCTGACTCAGTATTTTCTTGTTGCTTTGCTATGAGACTTCAAGGAGCCTTAAAATTTTTAGTATTATAAAATATGCATATGAAAAAATGCATAAAACAATTTATGAAGTATAAAGAATTATAAAGTTATGAAGCTACCTTGCCTCAGCTTCCATGCTTTGGGTAAAGGGACTAGCAAATATGCCACTACCTTCTGTTTCTTGTGTGCTGTAATTTAGGAGTTAGGTTATCCCAATCGATGGAGAAAGAATAGAAGATGGGATCAGAGAAGAGAGAGGAGTTGATTCTTCTTTTGCTACCTCAGAAAATGGTACTTGATGAGTAGGTCTTTTCCATTTTTTTTCTGGTAATGTTACACTGTGTCTAACCATTTTATGCGCATTTCCTAGTTGTGGATAATAGGCATATTCTTCATCCAGATAAGCCTGCACTGAACTTGGTAGAAGTCCTTCTTTGATGCTTACAAATAATCAAATGACTGACTATAAATCTTGCTTTTTAGAATTATTTTGAAACAGAAGCTCCATTTTCAATACAATGGATCTCTTTCATATTCTCTTTCTCTATACATTTTCTAGTATTCGTTTAAAAAAAAAACAAGAGGGGGAGGGGAAGAAGCCATATTGGAGACTTGTATCCACTGCTGCTTGCAGAGTTCCTTGTGTCAAATGGAAAATCAAACTGATTTAAGAAAAACATAGTTTGAGGATAAAAACAGTACCTTGGACATCCAACCAACAATGTGATACTGACCTGCCAGGAGAGGAGAAAGCATGAATTATGTTCTCCAGAGGGGGATAAATCCACTTTCTATAGAAAAACCTGCTAATAAAATAATATAGTGACTAGACTTTTTAATTCTGAAATTTAACATTTTTATCAGACTTAAGTTGTATTGAAAACCATTAGAATCAGTTAATAAAAGGAAAGTTACCATTTATATGTAACCCTAAGTGTTAGTTTAAAATCTCTAAGATGGGCTTGTTAAACATATTTTAATTAAGCCACTGATATATTTGTATTTCCTCTTGCATATTTTTCATTTTAGTAACATAAAAATAGAAACAAAGACATCAGAAAATCAATCTTAGAAATATTTTAGCTACCACAGACATTTATGATGGGCACTCTGAAAAAATTTATTTCTAATAAAACTTTCCATAAATTATGCATGTTTCAATGGAAATGGGAACATTACCACACTGGCTTGACAAGTGATTGAGAGAATAGGGAATGTGTTTGACTTTAGCATTTATAGAAATTTATAAAAGAAGACCTCAGATACTAAATTCAATGTCATCATTATTGTTTGTTTCTGTTAGTGTATTTGAGGCAGAATTTTTCTCAAAAACTGTCTTATGGAAAATCCTCATAGATGTAAGAGATTAGAGCAGGGCTGCTTTGACTGGAGCAGGAATTGGGCCCTCAACTGCCCATCTTTCTCTTTGCCCTAGTGTAGTTCTCCTGGTACCACCTTCTGGGAGGCCTCTGGCTTCCTGGAATTCTGTGAATCCCCATTTAGTCTAACTTCTTGGCTTTGCAATTGAGGATACATAAGCACACACCCAATCAATGGATGGGCTAGGCCTAGAATGCAGGTGTTCTGATTCTTAGACCAGAATATTTTCTACCCTACCGTGCTGCTTATTTTGTTCCTGAAATTAGCTTTAAACATGAAAATCTTTTCTTTTTAACCCAGTAGTGATCATTCTGTTACCTATGTAACAGAGGCCAAGGACAGCTACTGTATGAAATATATTTGTGGACTATGTACTTCCAAATATAAGCTAATTGTTAGAAGTAGATTCTATTCTTCTGTTGTCTCTAAGTTTACAGATATTTGCTTCTGAAAAATTCCTTGTGTAGACAAAGTATAAAAATTTTAATCGTAAAAATGGTGACCAGCTTCCAGTAAAGTCAAACTAGTGGGTGTGATTGCTGCCTCATCTACTGCTTCCCCTACCACCATCTGTTAGTTCCCCCCTTCAGTGGTTCTCTGCTCTTTGCTAATGTGGGCACTACTACTGAAGCACAAGTATTCTTCAGGCTGTGGGGTATTTCCTTGTACTTAGAGATTCCCAGTGTCAGAAGGAACTTGGATGCTTTGTCTCAGGCATGGAAGCCCATATCCTTCCTAATAAAAGAGTCTCATGTCTTTCCCACACAATTGCTGCTTTTATGTGCCTCACCAGGTAAAGTCTGTCTTTTGCATATTCCCTATAGCCAAGAATATTCTATGGAGCTTTGCTTCTGCAGTTAGCTTTTTGATAAAAAGGCATTTTTATATAAACATGAAAAATAATAGTTTATGTATTTGTGTTGCTTCTTGAGGACAGTGTAGGAGTGGAGTGTTGACACTGCTGATTGGTAGTCACTGAAGTAAATACCCATCTTTTATTCAATTTTTTTCTTGATTTTTAAAATGTCTGACAAAACTAAACCTATCAAAGTTCAATATAGTCTAAAATTCATAAAAACTAAAAATCACCTGTGTTAATTTGACATATTAAATGCACAAATTTGGCTATGTATTAATCATTAAGCAACCCAGACTAATGTGATTCATTTTGTGCAGAGGATTGTGCTAGCAAAGTGTGATTTTCTTATAAAGAGGGCTGGGAAGGGAACTACCAGGGGATATCAAGGCAATGAAAAGTGACAGATTGGTGTCACTTCTGAGGTTGTATTTTTTAAAAATCATTTAGCCTTTCTGTGTGTAAAGACATTACAGATTGTTTTCAAACTTGAGTGTGTAAGAAATTCGAGCCTGCTTTAAGCTTCATCATGTCTGAAAGGTTGGAAGTTAAATATTAATCATCCTTGGGTGCTTTTCACCCTTTCTTCAGGAGGACCACATAAAGGGTCTTATGCAGAGAAAACGTTCAGGAAAGAATTCTGTGATCTCCAGTCCAAATCCAGATCTTGGACTGTTCTCCGAGCTACCATGGTCCTTTGTGGTCAGGATGCTTTGCAGCATTTCTGGGAACAGGCACCTTGCTAGGACTGGGAGCCCTTGGGCCTGGGATCCAGCTCCCTGGCTGTACCCCAGCTGCTCCCTTCTCAGGCTGAGCCACTGTCCAGGCATGCCACTGGGGAGAAAGGTACAGGTCTCTATCCTTAGGGAAACCCACAGCTTCTGTTCCCTGTCCATTCATGGAAAATCTCCTTGACTCTTGCCTCTTCTCTTCCTCTTTTACCCACTAAAGGCCTAGTGTTTGTCTTTTTCATCAACTCAACCCTGTTTTAAAATGAAACCTTGGAAGAAAAAGTTGTATTTAGGGGAATCTAGCACCAAACTTCTCCCTGAGATAAGGGAACACAAAAACCTGTGTACTTTCTTTGAACCAGAAGTGGGGAAATACAAGGAGAGCAAAAACTCAAATGAGTAATATGATAGATTCTCCCATATAATATTTGACACATGTAATACTTAACATGATGCTGGTATTAAAATACTAGGAAAGTTCTTTAAGTTTATTTGGAAAGTTCTTAAGAATATCTTTGTCATTCCCTTATGTGCTTTCTAATATAGCTGATGTCAGTTATTGTCATCGTTCATAGTTAACCTTTCAAGTGAACAAAGTCAGCCCACCCTTCTGCTCTTTCTCTCAGTCCTAATCTGGCAACAGGTAGAAGAGAGATACTTGAATTCTTTATCGATGCTATGGAGTGTAGCGATGGAGATTGGTGTCATAGGTAGAATGGTGGTATCTAACCTGTATCCCCAAGGGACTGGAAATTGTCCAAGAAGGACAAGATACAGGAGGGAAAGTGAGAGCAAATGTTCAGGGCCCCAGGGACTCCATTTCAGTCATACTAATTGTGCTTTTTCACTTGCTTTATGTATTAAATTCCATGTAAATTTTTTAAATGAAGGACTCCATTGTTAAATTTGGAAATCATTAAAGGATATATGAAATTATATACCTGTAACATTAGAAATAACTCATATTTTGAGTTCAGGGTTTTCCTTTTCAACAAAACAATTCTGTAGTACAGAAGTGAACCTTCCCCTTAAAATACTGTGCTTAATTATCATTTACATGTAAAATCCCCAAATGGTAGGCCAAGTTTGGGAGATAGTATGATTTATTTAGAGTCTCAGTTCCTTTTCTGGTTAATAGGATATTCATTGTGGATGGTTATTGATACAAATCTTGCTGCTTGCTATACTGAAGCTGTGAGTTCTTATCAGTCACTGTACACAACAGTATAGTTCATGGAAACCACGAAGTAGCTCCAACCTAAATACTGAATCATGTTTTCATTTAAGCAGAATTTAAAATTAACTCCTTATCGATATCATTTTATGGTTAAACTTATGATTATATACATTAATATCAGCTGGTTGTTTTGGTATTACTCAACTTTAGTGATTGAGAAGGTTTTAGAATTTAATTAAGACAGTAGTACATAAAAATAAATTTTAAATGGTTAACTTTATTATAGCATGCTATTTGGCTAAAGATAAAATATTCACCAGAATTAAAGATTCCACATTAAATATTAAATATTTTGTAATGCTACTTTTTATTTTAGAATACTGTTTTTCTTGAAAACTTTCAATGTTCAACATTATATTAGTAACATATAATTTTGTAGTTTTCAGAAGTCTTTTTTACCCTACTCTATTATTCTACTATACAGGTTTAAGAATATATAGTGTCTGTCATCCAGTAGAAGCATTACAATTTTTATTTCTCTTACTATTAGTATCGAATACTAAAATTAGAATATTCAAGTTTAGAGATGGTTTTTTCATTAGAAAAGTTCGTGCGGTCAATGCGAGAACTAGGACTTCCAACCTCGCTCAGCCAGGACTTCCTACAAAAAATAAATAAAAATTAGCATATAAAGAACATATGGATTAGCTATAACAATGGGAGTTTACTTTTCCTACATAACTTTTGCATATAATGTGAAATTCTTAAATTGTATACATCATGGATGTATCAGAATACCAGTTTATACAGTTGACCGATGAACAACACAGGTTTGAACTGTGGGTCCACTTATAACATGGATTTTTAAATTTTTTTACTGAAGTATAGCTGATACACAATCTTATATTGGTTTCAAGTATACAACACAGTGGTTCACCAGTTATCCACATTAAATCCTCACCCTAACTAGTGCAGTTACTGTCAACACAGAAAGATGTTACAGAATCGTTGGCTATATTCTCCATGCTGTACTACCATCCCTGTGACTAACTTAGATTATGACTGAGAACTTTTGTGCTCCTTTATCCCCCTCACCCTCCTACCTACCCACCACATCCAGAAATGATAACCACCAGTCATTTCTCAGTGCCTATGATTCTACTGCTATTTTGTGAAATATAAAAACAAAACAAAATGAACAAATGAGTGAAATCACATGGTATTTGTCTTCCTCCACCTGGCTTATTTCACTCAATTTCACTTAATACCCTGTAGGTCCACCCATGTTGTTGCAAATGGCAGGATTCCTTTCTTTTATATGGCTGAATAATATTCCACTGAATATTTGTACCACTTCTTCTTTATCCATTCATCTATTGATGGACATTTGGGTTGCTTCTATATCCTGACTATTGTAAATAATGTAGCAATAAACATAAGGGTGCATATGTATTTTCGAATCAGGGATTTCATTTTCTCAGGTAAATTCCTAGAAGTGGAGTTACTGGGTTGTATGGTGTTTCTATTTTTAGTTTTTGAGGAACCTCCGTACTGCTTTTCACAGTGGCCACATCAATTGACAGTCCCATCAACAGTGTAGGAGAGTTCCCTCTACTCCATATCTTCTGCAACACTTGGTATTTCTTGTCTTTTGGATAGTGGCCATTCTGACTGGTGTGAGGTGGTAACTCGCTATGGTTTTGATTGCATTTCCCTGATGATTAGCGATGTTGAGCATCTTTTCATGTGTTGGCCATGTGTATTTCTTCTTTCAAGAAATGTCTGTTCAGGTCCTCCACCCATTTTTTAATCAGATTTTTTTTTTTTGGTGTTGAGTTGTAGGAGTTCTTTATATATTTTATATGTTAACCCTTTATCAGATGAATCATTTATGAATATTTTCTCCCATACTGTAGGTTGCCGTTTTGTTCTGATGGTGTCCTTTGCTGTGCAGAAGCTTTTTCGTTTGATGTAGTCCCACTTGTTCATTTTTATTTTGTTTCCCTTTCCTGGGGAGACATGTCCAGGAAAAATATTGCTCATGCTTATGCTCAAGAGATTATTGTTTGTTTTCTTCTAAGGAGTTATATTTTCAAGTTGTACACTTAGGTCTTTGATCTTTGGTTAAGGAATTAGACAATAATCCAGTTTCATTCTCTTACATGCAGGCTGTCATTTTCCCAACACCAGTTGTTGAAGAGGCTGTCTTTTCCCCATTGTATATTCATGGCTCCTTTATTGTATATTAATTGACCATATAGGTGTGTGTTTATATCTGGGCTCTCTGTTCTGTTCCACTGATCTATGGGTCTGTTCTTGTGCCAGTACTGTTTTGATCACTGTAGCTTTGTAATATAGCTTGAAGTCAGGGAGTGTAATACCCCTAGCTTTGTTCTTTCTCAGAATTGCTTTGGCTATTCAGAGTCCTTTGTGGTTCCAAATGGATTTTAGGATTATTTGCTGTAGTTCATTGAAAAATGCCATTGGTATTTTGATAGGTATTGCATTGAATCTGTGAATAGCTTTGGGCAGGATGGCCATTTTGAAAAATATTAACTCTTCCCATGCAAGAGCATGGGATAGCTTTCCATTTATTTGTGTCTTAGTTCTCTCATGAGTGTCTTGTAGTTTTCAAAGTATAGGTCTTTCACCTCCTTGTTTAGGTTTATTCCTATGTATTTTATTATTTTTGATACAATTGTAAGTGGAATTGTTTTCCTGATTTTTCTTTCTGGTAGTTCTTTGTTAGTATATAGGAGTGCAATAAATTTCTGTGTATCAATTTTGTATCTAGCAGCTTTGTTGAATTCAGTTATTAGTTCCAGTAGTTTTTTGGTGGATTCTTTAGGGTTTCTATGTATAATATCATGTCATCTATAAATAGTGAGAGTTTAACTTCTTCCTTAACAATTTAGATGCCTTTTACCTCTTTGTGTTGTTTGATTGCTGTGGCTAGGATGTCCAGTACTATGTTGAATAAAAGTGGGGGGAATGGGCATTCTTGTCTTGTTTCTGATCTTAGAAGATCTTTTAGCTTTTCACTATTGAGTATGATGTTAGCTGTGGGTTTGTCATACATGGCCTTTATTATGTTGAGGTATGTACTCTTTATACTCATTTTTTTGAGAGTTTTTATCATGAATGCATGTTGAATTTTGTCAAATGCTTTTTCAGTATCTATTGAGATGATCATGTGGTTTTTATCCTTCTGTTACTGTGGTGTAAGATACTGACTGACTTATGACTATTATTACCATCTGTATCCCTGGAATGAATCCCACTCTTTCATGATGGATGATCTTTTGATGTATTTTTGAATTCTGTTTGCTAATATTTTGTTGAGTATTTTTGCATCTATGTTCATCAGGGATAGTGGTCTGTAATTTTCTTTTATGTGGTGTCTTTGCCTGGTTTTGGTATTAGAGTGATGCTGGCATCATAGAATGAGTTTGGAAGTATTTCCTCCTCTTCTGCTTTTTTGGAATACTTTAAGGAGGATGGGTATTAGCTCTTCTTAAAGTGTTTGGTAGAATACAACTGTGAAGCCATCTGATCCTGGACTATTGGTTTTTTTTATTAACAATTCAGTTTCATTACTGTTATTTGGTCTGTTCAGATTTTCTACTTCTTCCTGGGTCAGTCTTGGAAAGTTGTACTTTTCTAGGAATTTGTCCATTTCTGCTAGGTTGTCCAATTTATTTGCATATTATTTTTCATAGATTTCACTAATCTTTTTATTTCTGGGCTGTCAGTTGTGCCTATTCTCTCTTCATTTCAGATTGTTAATTTGTGTTCTGTCTTCTTCTTGGTAAATCTGTCTAGGGATTTTGTCTATTTTGTTTGTCCTAAAGAACCAGCTCTTGGTTTTTTTTTCCCTACTCTTTTATTCTTCTCTACTTTATTTCTTCTCTGATATTTTATGTTCCTTCTTCTATTAACTTTGGGTTTCATTTGTTCTTTTTCTAGTTTTAGTTTTGAGTTTAGACTGTTTATTTGGGATTATTGAGGTAGGTCTGTATTGCTATGTTCTTCCTTGTTAGACCCACTTTTGCAGGGTCCTGCATATTTTGAACTGTTGTTTTTTTGTTTTCTTTTGTTTCCATGTATTGTTTGATTTCTTCTTTGATTTTTCACTGACCCATTGATTATTAGAAGCATGATGTTTAGCCTTCATATGTTTGTGAGCTTCTTTGTTTTCTTCATGTAATTTATTTCTAGTTTCATAATATTGTGATCTGAAAAGATTCTTGATACAAAATCAGTCTTTTAAAATTTATTGAGGCTTTTTTTGTCCTAATATTAATCTGTTCTGGAGACTGTTCCATGTGCACTTGAGAAAAATGTGTATCCTGCTGCATTTGGGTAGAATGTTCTGTATATATCTGTTAAGTCCATCTGATTTAGTGTGTTGTTCAGTGCCTCTGTTTCCTTATTTATTGAGTTGTGGTCTATTTGTCCCTTTAGTTCTGTTAGTATTTATTTTACATATTTGAGTGCTCCTATGTGCTTCTATGTTGGGTGCATAGATATTATAATGGTATATCCTCTTGCTGGACTGATCCCTTTATCATTATGTAATGTCCTTTGTCTCTTGTTTTGAAGTCTGTTTTGTCTAAGATAAGTACTCCTGCTTTTTTCTCCCTATCATTTGCATGAAATATATTTTCCCATCACTTCACTTTTAGTCTGTGTATAGCTGGGTTGGAAATGAGTCTCTTGTAGGCAGCATATAGATGAGTCTTGTTTCTTATCCATTCTGCCATTCTATGTCTTTTGATTGGTACATTCAGTCCATTTTCATTTAAGGTAATTATTGATAGGTATTTACTTATTGCCATTTTATTTACTGTTTTCTGGTTGTTTTTGTAGTTCCTCTTTGTTCTTTCTTCCTCTTATACTGTTCTAATTATTTGATGGTTTTCCTTAGTGTTGTGATTGGATTTCTCTTTTTTATTTTTTTGTTATCTATTATAGGCTTTATGTTTGTGATTACCATAGGTTCATGGATAGTTTCCCAACTACATAACAGTTCATATTAAGCTGATGGTCATTCTATTTTGAACATAGTCTAAAAGTACTTTTTAAAAAAATGATCCTTCCTCTTCCAGACTTTATTATGTATTTTGGATTTTATTCAATAAATATACTGGAAAGATTTCTGGAGACTTATGACAATTTGAGAGCATTTTCTCTAGCTTGTAAGAATACAGTATATGATACATATCACATACAAAATATATGTTAATCAACTTTGTTATCAGTAAGGCTTCCAGTCAACAGTAGGTTTTTAGTAGTTAAGTTTTTGGGGAGTCAAAATTATGCACAGATTTTCAAATGAGGAAGGTTGGTACCCCTAAGCCCCTGGTTCAAAGGTCAACCATAATTAAATACAAACAAAGGAAAGCTAATAACAAACACAGTCAACTCCTGGTAATTTCATATTGTGTTTTTTCCCCACCTTTTAGAACAATCAAGGCCATTACTACCTGGCTCTTACAGGCAAAAGGATAAAAATATTTTTAGTTAAAAAAACCTCATCATTGTTTTTTCTCATTACCCAGCACACGGTAGGTGTTATTTATATATATGTATAGAATGAAATGGAGATAGGAATAGAATGAAAAAATGTGATATTCCATAAACATTAAAACTAGATGAACA